CCATGCATTCCTTAAACACATACTATAGTCCATGCATTCCTGAAACATATACTATAGCCCATGCGTTCCTTAAACACATACTATAGTCCATGCATTCCTGAAACAAATACTATAGTCCATGCATTCCTGAAACACATACTATAGTCCATGCATTCCTGAAACACATACTATAGTCCATGCATTCCTGAAACACATACTATAGTCCATGCATTCCTGAAACACATACTATAGTCCATGCATTCCTGAAACACATACTATAGTCCATGCATTCCTGAAACACATACTATAGTCCATGCATTCCTTAAACACATACTAAAGTCCATGCATTCCTGAAACACATACGGTAGTCTGTGCATTCCTGAAACACATACTATAGTCCGTGCATTCCTTAAACACATATGCATTCCTTAAACACATACTATAGTCCATATGCATTCCTGAAACAAATACTATAGTCCATGCATTCCTGAAACAAATACTATAGCCCATGAATTCCTGAAACACATACTATAGTCCGCGCATTCCTGAAACACATACTATAGTCCGTGCATTCCTGAAACACATACTATACTCCGTGCATTCCTTAAACACATACGGTAGTCCATGCATTCCTTAAACACATACTATAGTCCATGCATTACTGAAACAAATACTATAGCCCATGCATTCCTGAATCACATACGGTAGTCCATACATCCCTGAAACACATACTATAATCCGTGCATTCCTTATACACATACGGTAGTCCATGCACTCCTGAAACACATACTAAAGTCCCTGCATTCCTTAAACACATGCGGTAGTCCATGCATGCCTGAAACACATACTAAAGTCCATGCATTCCTTAACCACATACTATAGTCCGTGCAGTCCTTAAACACATACGAGAGGCCTTTCATTCCTTAAACACATACTATAGTCCGTGCATTCCTGAAACACATACGGTAGTCCATGCATTCCTTAAACACATACGGTAGTCCGTGCATTCCTGAAACATATACTATAGTCCATGCATTCCTGAAACACATACGGTAGTCCGTGCATTCCTGAAACACATACTATAGTCCATGCATTCCTTAAACACATACGGTAGTCCGTGCATTCCTGAAACACATACTATAGTCCGTGCATTCCTTAAACACATACGGTAGTCCATGCATTCCTTAAACACATAAGGTAGTCCGTGCATTCCTGAAACATATACTATAGTCCATGCATTCCTGAAACACATACGGTAGTCCATGCATTCCTGATACCATAGTCACAAAAGAAAAGAAACATTGAAAACTTCGCATATATTTTGTACATCATCAACTAGACAAACAGTGGTAATATTGGTATATTGGTTTATAAAGACCTCATGAAAAAATGTACTTGCAAGGTAAGGCTTATAACTGTAATTTAAAAGACTTTATTCTACTAAAGGATTATTGCACTCCATTTACGAATTCCATGGAACATTACTTGCTGTAGAAAATATTCGGGCTCCCGCCCTCTTCAGTTTCATTGGGGAAAACTGTTTCGATTTATATCATGTCCATCGAATGGTTCAAATAATTATGAATCCTTACAATGTACAATTGGACAAAAATATAAATAATCAAAAATGGACATGAGAAATTCAGGAGCTCAGAAAATAACACAATATTCAATGGAATCAGTTAAAAGGTTTGTTTCCCCTTTCGAGACTGTCATGGTTTACATATACTCCGTTTACGTATCAATGTGCAAACAAGAACACCTAGGATTGTCAGGAAATAGTGATAATGGGACCAAAAAAAGAGTCCGCTATCATTTAAACTGTTAACATTCGTCTACTTATAAAAGTGTTTCGAATGCAATACAATTAACAAATATTTCACTCTAAGACGCAAAACTGGTACCATTCTTTACATACACAATTGAATTTTTATCATTTCTACAACATCTATGTGGTTTAGGTTCACAACAATTCCATCACGGTAGATGAGAAAGGACCTGAGCAGGATGTTACGGTAGAATCAACCGTTCCTATTACCTGTAACAGCCCCTTCCAGCAGACATGTCAAATAGGTGTAGAAATGAAGGCATCCACTGACCCAAACGGTAATTAAAGACCCTTGTATTATCATTTCGTATTTCATACATAATGTTTTCTTATCATAGAATGGTGTAACTAGTCATGAAATTGTAATAATATAATTACAATATACGCGTCTTTACTCACAGTATTATCGTTATTTTTTATATATAGCTTGATTTACAATAATCATTGGAAATAAGAAGATTATCAAAATAGTACATGATTATTTAGTTAACGCTTTCTAAAAACAAAGAATTTTAATTTTTGTAGAAAAGAAAGCAAAAAACACAGGTTCTATATATACCTGTATTTGAGAATGATAGGTCCGATTTCCGTTTAAGATCGGTTGGGGATTATAATTTAAGAATATCGTAAGATGAAGGACTAAAAATGATTTCTTTGAAAATTCACAAAGGTACATTTTGATAATTATTTTCTCCTGGGTTTATTTGAACAAATCTGTAAGAGCAAGCCCCCTTGATTAAAATTGGGATATGTAAAACGGCCCAATCGCCCAGGCAGTAAAAGGGACAAGTTGCCGGCCCCATCGGACCCCGGCAGCTAACGGAACAGTAAATTGGCCCAAATCGGCCCCTGGCAGTTAAAAGGCTGAAGGCAACAACACCACAGAAAATGATGACGTTATAATACATTAATTATGTCGTCACAATACCATGTTCCAAAATTGACAACTAACTTCTTAAACTTCCCAGACATTTGCTTCTCTTGAGAAACATCATTGGTTCCTTTTTAATCTTATTTAAACTAAAAAAGTAATCTTGTTTTAGGTTTGTTCTTTATTCTTAAAATTTTCAAACTATTTTATGAATGATTCTAATGGTTCACATCTTGTCATATTTTGAGTTGGCATCTATCTCTGTTTTCAGATGTTTCCACTACCAGTTGTACCTATCAATTAACATGTGATCCTGCTACTCAGACTTACAAAAGTACGATAAAGGTGACAGCTACACGTGACTTCGTTAAGGATGGTGACCAGCGGCACGAGCTTGCCTTCCGTCCTATAAGTAACCCGATTTCTAATCCTATGTGGGACGGTTATTCAGTGAAACCAATACAGGTAATTGTTAAATATTGTATTTTCACGTGATATATCAATTGTAAAAAAAAACACAAACAATAGAATCCATCGAAACTGACCGTTTTTGCGTAGTTACAAATAAAAAGATATTCTTATATTTGTTCAATTTGATGAATGTTTTTTAAAACGAGTCCAGAAGCTAAAAAGAACTAAAGGTCGGACGAGTTTCATAAACATCAAATGAATTTAAATTCTTGGCAAAGGTACATTTTATCACTTAATAAGAAATAATAATTGCCTAAAAAGTGTACTTAAACTATTATCGAGTCTTTCGTGTCGTTATCTTGACCACGAGTAAATTGCCCTACCATGTGACGTCACAGTGGCATCTTAAAATCTCTGAAGTCTTGTATTTTGTTTCATTCTTAAATATCAACATTCCGTATGCTTAGACCCATTGACGAAAAAGACATTAATTTTTGCATAACACAGGTGACCTTATCACTGCATATTGATACACTTCAATGACGAAGCACAGGGGAAACAGCCCTCGATGTAAATTTGTTATGCTTTTATGAATTGAAATTAAATATGATTGGCTTGATTTTTAAGCTAAAATAAGGTATGTAAAGTATATGATAACAATATACGACTTTATTAATTCTACAAATTAAATTTTGAAAATATTTTGTTGTTTTGTTGTCATGCTGTTACCAGGACCCCCAGCGAAATTTTTAAATTTTCCCGTGAAAACATGATGATCACTCTACTGAGTTGCCATCATGTTTAATTGGACAAAAATACCAGTATTTTATTATTTAAGCTCGAATCGGAAAGGTCAAAGTACTTAAAATTTAAATATACGGAATACATTTTTTTTTCAACATTCATGAGGTCATACACTGTAACAGCATTGGCTTTCTGGACGATTCATGGTAAATATGTCCAGAAAGCCAATGAATGTTGAAAAAAATATATACTTTAAGTGTCACAATGGATAACACCAGAACTATTACACAGTAATGGAATACGTATCAATTACGGTTTCAAATTGTCATATGAACCTTTTAACTAATGAATTTCTGCAAATAAATTGATACCGAACCACGTCAATGCGATTACAGGGACCAGGTTAATTATGAAACTAGAATTCGATATTTGTCCGTGTTAAGTAAAATCGCTCACATGAGACACTGATATGTTTTTACTAAAAGGCTTACGATTTAAACCATTGTATTACTTTCAACATTTGTCTGAAGTCGACATGATACGTATGTTCTTTTCCATTTTTACTAAAATATTCAACCCATGTATAAGAAGTCAGAGAATTAATTAATTCGTACAACAATGTAGATAGGTAAACAAATGTTTTCAACATAATTTTATGGAAGAAATATAAAAATCGATAAATGAACCTCTTTTATAATAATACAGTTTTCGTTCAGATACGGTCTATAGATCAGCCTCATGGTAAATGTTCAACAAGTGGAGATCCTCATGTCTACCAGATTGACGGTTCGAGGTAAGCTATGATTTTGATTGCTTGATTCTATACATCTTAAGATGAATGTTCATGATAACAAATAGATCATGGCTAAGTAACATAACTATTCTCTGTTATAAAAGATATTTTTTCTCGTATTATAACTGCTATATGAACGTTCCACTTATATTTTGTTGTCTTATTTCGCATTGTGATCAATTCTTACTTGGATCAAAATCTTATTTGCTAAGCTACGACAAACATGTAATATGAAGTCGTGTTTTACGCTAAAATTGGACAATCAGACATCAAATAATGCGTTCAAATTGAGAAAGATCATTTTGGATTTTTTTCTGTTGAGAAAATCAAGCCAACTCTTGATAATTTACAAATGTGGATTTATTCTCAAAATAAAGAAACAACCACAGGTGTTTTTGGATTAAAAGCAAATATATACTCACTGCCTTTAACCTAGAATTTTGAAGTATTGACCGATTGGCGTAGGGCCATCCGGAAACTTGTAAGCATGATTAGATGTATGAACTATGTGAAAGCGCCGTCGGCGTATACCGTAGAGGCACATGACGTAAGACACCAACTGCGCCGGAAATCGATTGTAGTTTATAATAGTAGTACGAAGTGACAGGAAGCAACTTAGCTGAGGAACGAACGCTGTTTGCTATATCTCACCCGACGAAGGGGGAAACGTTAATGTCCTGCCGCGTTGTACGGTATCATTCTTTCGTAGTTTTGTTTATCCTATGATTCATATAGGATAATAGGTTTGTTAATATATTGACAAATTTTAAAAGTCACTAATTTATCTTTTGACTATGATTAAAAATCCAAGATGGCCACTGCGGCTTCTGATTGGTTAATTGTACGGTAATAGCAAGATCTTATTCAAACTGACTAATGTATGGTTTATCCTAGGGTTTTGTTTTGTCAATACGAAAATTTGTCTTAAGTATTGTCTTAAGTTCAAAGATAACAATTTAAAAAAAAAAAAAATCATAACAGTGCTTCTCATATTCAGAGAAAAAAATGTGCCGCGAACTAAGAACTAATCTGGTTATCTGTAATTGTAGAAACATTGCCGTAAATGAAATCGGAGACTTCATATTCTATAAGAGCCTAGCAAGACCATTCGAGGTAAAGTATTGAAGATATGTTATAAACTTATCGAGAGTATTTTTGTTGAGGAATATGTCGATGTATTTTTTATTTTTTATTAATAAGTTGCAGTTGCATTATATAGAGTATATGGCATCAAACGAGTGATGATTGGTAATGGTTTATATCAAATGTAGTAGATAACATTTGAGAATAAACTTGTTTCGATATAAATCGTTATGGTGTCTCACAAGATGGATATCTCGTTTATCCAATGATCCATATATTAAAAGTAAAACAATACCAAACGTCAGCGATGGGGAGAAATTATATGTAAAGTTGTTTTGATGTCGACAAATAGTATGGCGTCAAGTCATGAGAAGTAATCTAATACTGTAAAAAATAAAAATAAAAATTAGACTGGGATTAAATGAACATGTAGCAGGAATAAAGTGAAATATTCTATGAGGATGTCTGAAATGTATGTAGATAATATATATCAAACATATATAAATGTATTCACTAAACAGTTTAAGATAGGTGTTTTTACTTTAAGTATTTGAGATATTATAGCTACTCATGGATAACTTGATTTAAAATGGGATTAAATAAGTAAGGAAAGTGTTCTAAATGAAGTTATTTCAATTACATTATACATCTTTAAATGCTTCTCCATCACATAAAATATATTTATACAGCCAATCCTCACTTGTTTACATACTCATTTCTTTTTAACTCGTAGGTCCAAATCAGAACATGGGGATGTGGACACTTCAACCCCTGTATCTGCTCTGTTATAGCACGTGAGGGAAATGACGTTGTAGAAGTTGACATGTGCGCTAAACGTTTGAATCAAATTGCTGCACCACATCTTTCCCACTGGCCGTTGGCGGGCACAACAGTTGACAAAGATTCTACAGGGAAACGGTTAGATGTAAGTTTATAACGACAATCTCAAACTAACGCAAACGTTGCATTTAAAGTGGATAGAAATATAATTTATATTCATATGCACGAAATCATATTACGCTTTACACCATTGATTAGTAAATATTATACAATTATGGACTTCTGAATATGATGTGATATGAACCTGAAAAAGTGATATTGACCGAGGCGAAGCCGAGGTTAATATCACTTTTTCAGGTTCATATTACATCATATTTACCAGCACAAAGCCCATAACTGTTTAATGATATGCTTCAACAACAACAAAAATGAAAAAATCAAGGTTCTAAATTTTCCTTTTTTTCTCTCATGTTTTTGCCTCCGTATAAAATTTAGCCAGTGTTGAATCCGACTCTTTAGTTAGAAATCGATATTCACCGGATAACCAGTCTACATGAGTAGGACTGAGGACTTGACACGTGTATGGGATCCGGTCAATGTGATTGCGAGAAACGTTCAAGCATATAATAGATAGTGTTATATACAAATTTTACAATTCCAAGTGTTTCCAAAGACAGAGGTTTTAAATTACGTCGAAGGCAGCCTATGGTCGTTATTCTGACACGAATTACAACCATGAAAGGATTTCATAAAATTGGCCCTAAAATCCATCACAATTTATCACCTTTAATCGCTACAGTAACAAGTTGAAATTTTCATAAATTAAAATATCTGAAAATTCAGCCAATTTTGTCATGCTTTTGTATAGTTTTTTCTCTTTGAAAATATAGGGCACGTGCTTGAACACATTTATGTCAACAGGGAACATTCATGCACTGAATATATATATGTTTGTTCAGGAATGTACACTATTGTTTCTGAGAGAGAAAAGAAATGAAAAATTTACAATATTGACTGAATATTTAAATTTTACTCAGTTATGTAAAATTCTAACTGTTTATCAAGACAACCGGGGAAAACAAGAAACATTTTCATAATATAGTTCGGGTAAATTCAAAATTTGGAAATAAATTATTTCAAAATATGATTAGAATTTGAATTTTATTGGAATACTGAAAAAGGGGGAAAAAGTTCCTTTTAAAAAGCTTTTAGATCACTGTTCCTGGATTGGTGATGACTTCCCTACTTTCCTGGATTTGACAAAAGACACCGTGACAGGTGTTACATGTTTTTCCGGAAGCACCTTATTTCACCTGTGGTGATTTGTGAGGACTGGTGACATTTCCACTTTGTCTGTAACCGGTGATAGACTTTCATTTCTTTGTTTATTGATGCTGTAACAAATATATATATATTTCAAATAAATTGGGTTTTCATCAAAAATACTTTTAACATAAACATTTCACTTTGTGTGATGCTATACAGCCTTATTTTGCAGATCAATTTCCCTTCTGGTGCCCATCTTATAGTACGCGCAGCATCATACAACCCTAATAGAAAAGAGACGGACGGATTTCTGACCCTTAATCTGCAGGTTCCTACAGACGACCTTGGCAAGTCTGTTGGACTTTGTGGAAAATACGATAACAATCAAAACAATGATCTCGTAGGAGCAAATGGATATAAGTATTCCACAAATACGAAAGAAAAGTTTGTCCACACGTGGCTGTAAGTAATTGCAAAATAGGAATCAATTCAATTTGTTTTCACCAGATATATAGTTGATCTTATTACTCTCAATTGTGAAAGCAATAATTGATTCACTTGTTCTGTTTATTGATGATGATATATATTTCAATTTCAACAACATTTATTAACACCAAATTGAATGACAAAATCAGAATTGAAGCCTATACTAATCAACTCCCTTGGTGGCATGTGGACATATTATGAAGTATTTACAGTTTGTTAGTAATTAACATATGTCCTACTGTCAGTTTCATGAGATCCCGATCATATTTAACGTAGGAATTTAAATCGGCAACTTAACCTTTAGAGAAAACAAAAGAAGAAGTCTTTGACCCTAGAACACTGACGTAGAACTGAGTATTTGGGTAACATATCGGATACTTCATCTTTAGAATACTTCCTTTTTGACATGTTTTAATCTTATTGAAGTTATTGCTATTTACTACCATTATTTTAAAGTAACGAACTAGATTTATCACGGCCATCTATTGAAAGTAAAAAAGTAGGTGGTGAACATTTTTAACAGTGTTACAGTACAATGAAAATATATTCCCATACAAATAAACTGTACAATAAAAACCATTTCCAATTGTGTCAAACAAATAGGTCCACAACTATTTTCCGATCATGTCGACCGATTAACTATTACATAACTCCAAGTCAGCGTACACACTTAAAACTTTCTCCGATGAAAACATCAAAGGATATATTCAAGGATTGAAATGCACCACTTTCACATTTATGATGATATGCAGTACAGCCCGCTCAAAATTATTCCATGGTAGAGCATCTTGAAAAATATGTTTGGAGGAAACTGTGTTGCATGCCATTATAATGATAAAAATATGCATTTCATTCTTTGAATTTAAGTTCTAAACAGCAATAATTCTGTTATTTTATCGTTATTTGTAGTCTTATTCGGTTCAAAATACATTTTCAAGAACCTTTTTGACAAATTGGCAGAAAATCCATTTTTGCGTAAACAAGATCGCACAACCTCTATGTTAGTTGAGATATCCAACAGAACACCGAGTATGATAATTAACTTATCATACATGGTAAAATTTTAGTTTATAAGTACATGTAATTACATTGAACATGAAAAAATGATTACCAGGTATGCAAGTATTGATACAATTATTAGATTGAAGACCGCACAGCCCATGCGTTAGTTGATGTTTTCAACTAAACACCGAGTATGTTCCTCGGAAATAACTGATTATTCAGTAATATTACAGGTTTTAATTAATCATTTTGAACATGCAGAATGTGGGGGAATATAAGTAAAGACATTATAAACTTAAACATTTAAATTTCGTCCACGGTTTTCATCGATAAAACAGTTAAGGACATATGAATCAATCCAATCTATTATCTGCATACAATTACAGTGTGAATCCCGGTTCGAGCATGTTTGACCAGAAACCTGCATACTCGCCGTCAGCCGCAATCAACAATACCAACTACTGTCAATGTGACCACCACAGAGCTGACTGCACTAAAACCAAAGCTAACAACCCACTAGCCCATGTAATATACCAGATGTTGTATTGATATAAACGGCACAAACATATCTATATAGATAACGATCCACTAGCACATATAATGTACCAGATGTTTATATATCTATATAGCTTTAGAATGAATGTTAAAAAGGAGCACATATGGAGAAAAACAGGCTTGCTCTTTAAGACATTTTAGTTTTCCAACAGTACTTTTTGTCTATTTTCGCAAAATTGCATGCAAATATGCATCTGTCAATGGCAAAATATTTCTTGTGTGTGTGTGGTATGTATTTAACTGGAATCCAATGAGATGACCATATTACGAACATATGTCGTTATTTTTCTGGACATGTTTTTTTTTTATTCTAAATTCTTTTTATTATCTTCTCCAGTTAGTTTACACAGATTTCAGACACACATTCAGTTGACTTAAAGATGAAACTCTATCACGATGTGTTAATAATTTGATATATTTATCATATTTGACCTATCAATAATAAGGCATTCTCTCTAGGTCACCAACATATACTTCTTTACAATACTTATGCTTCGAAATGATTTAATGAATTGGATCAAAATGTACTTTGTAATTTTTAAATGATAGGTTATTGTGATACAACTGTTACAGCAATGCGGAAACCTAGCATGCACGAATGTCGCGAGCCACGGTGTACACCCGCGTGATCTGGACTATCCTGTAGAGTCTAGGAGCCAGCGTGAGATAAGACAAGGTAATTCAGTGGAAGTCTTGTGTATTGAACTATTAAACATATCTATTTGAACCATACATTATCTATGCAGCATTCAACTGGTGAAACTCGATAGATGGCTGTTACATATAAAACCAATCCCATGTTTTCTTGATATCGGTTTCATTTCTAGTATTTTTATTCCTCATGCTTATGTCATGGAGTATGTAACTTCCTCATTTTAAAAAGAGATAACTTGTGTGACCATAAAATTGTATGCATGGCATAACATTAATACTACAAAACCCCTGTAGTTTGACAATCCAACGGTAAGATGTCTCCTTAAATAACTAAATAAACTATCTTTGCTTGAAAGAAAATGACGTTAAACTTTGACGATAACATATAGTAAGCAAACCTATATATTTCGAGTGTTACATAACTTGCCCTGCTACAGTGTAATAACTCCTGTTGTGTCTTGAATTCACATTTAATAACATCTAAAACAGAGCTGTGCTTTGCTAAATAATCCCAATGTTTTAGTTGGTGCTATCACAACTAAGACACCATTATGCTTCCACTTGCATTGTGACGCAACAAGGGAAGTATTCTCCGGAATCTAAATGTCGATGTTTTAGTCTTCAAATCAGCACAAGAAATGGATGTATTCATGAACGCTTGCAACGAATTTCGGTCATGTGATGAAACAAAATGAATATTATATTTAATCTCAATTAAGGATGATTTCTTTTTAAATTAGCATGCCAGAGGCCTGCTAAAATAAATATATATTTTCTTAAAAAATGATATAAAATGGAAACTTGTAATCGAATATTTACGTATCAATAATATGGTGCTATCAACAGGATAATATCTTTCCGATTATGTTGAACGTTAATCCAGATGAACTTTCATCTACCCAAATGTTGACCTATGATTTACTGTAGTTTACAAGCGCACAATAACGTCGTTCCCGACCCCGAGCGGGATGACGGAAGCCATGGCTATCAAGTCGTGTACGGACGCCATCCGGGGATCCACGCTCTACTCTCGGTGTCAGTCCGTCGTGCTGTCCGAAACTGTTAATTATTACATCGACGCATGCGTAATGGATATGATGGTAATGACTTCAATCTCATATTGTACATATATAGTTGTTAATAAATTAAACCTTTTTATTTATTTAGTGTTTACCTTATGTTCGGGTGGCGCTTTTTTATTCTGCCCGTAAAAAAATTAGGATTACTATTTACAATAAATGCAACTTACCTAATTATGTCCCCCAAAACGGAGTTTGTGTATGCTCCGTTTCTTCTTCTTCTTCTTCTTCTTCTTCTTCTTCTTCTTCTTCTGCCATGTATTTGTCCGACCATTTTCTCAAAAATCGCAAGGCATATGTTGATGACACTTCACATGATTAATAATGGGCATATGTAGTTGTCCATTCAAGGTTTTTTTTCCAGATCTTTGATTTAGCAACCACACGGCACGGAGGCTTCTGATTGGTCGAAATGTATATATTGTTCGATTTTCATGAACATTGGTATATAGGGGTATTAGGGGACTGTGAATTCAACCGCATATGTTTCGCTGCCATATCAACCACACAGCAACCACACGGAGGCTTCTGATTGGTTGAAATTTAGAAATCAGTCTATATTATGAAAATTAATGTATAGGGGTATTTTGGGACTGCAAATTCAACTGCATAGGTTTTGTTGCCAAAGCAACCACACAGAGGCTTCTGATTGGTCGCATTTTAGAAATCAGTCTATTTTATGAAAACTTAGTATGTACATTGTAGGTGTATTCTGGCATTGCGACTATGGGGGCAGTTTGGGAGACTTCTGTAATGGTCCCCCATTACAATTACTACTTGTTGTTTATTTGTTTTTCCAGTTTAAAAATACTTTCCTTCTGATATTAAGCAATCTTTTTTTCAATACATCTTCCATCTGTCTAATTATTCGTACAATATTTTTAATCTAAAATTATCAGTTAAACCCCTTACTGAAAGTATTGAAAATTATATAACTATATAATCTGATTATACATAAAATGTATCTTGTCTAAATATATCATTCATCACAATCCATCTCCATTGCAGTACTCGGACAGTGACGTGTTCAACGTCGCTCATATGAATACTTTCGATTTTGAATGTCAAGACACTGTCCTCCGAAATGTAAGTAACTACGCCAAAGGATCTCATGGCGAGAGAATCCTGCCGCCCGATGTCACCAGTCACGTGTGTCCAAATCAATGTAGCAGACGTGGAACCTGTCACGAAGGCACATGCGTGTGTCACACCGGATATACAGGCAATGATTGCTCAGTTCCAGTAGGTGTCGCCCCAGTCGCCAGCCATATTCGTGGGTATGTGTTTCTCGCAACACTGACATTCTTCTCATAACTAATTCTTAAAGAGGCCAGATAATGATTTTTTTTATATCTTTCCTTTAATATCCTTAGAACAGTGATTATACGGAATACATTTTCATCAACTCTTATTTCATCAACTCTTATTTCAAACCTCAAACTCACATCTGTTGATTAGGCAGTAATTTCCTTGTTCAACCCAATGTATGAAAACCATTGACTACAACAATAAGTATGATAAATGCACGTGTTATATTATACCTGTCAGATCTGTTGTAGACGTCACTATGACACGTGTAGAGCACGTTCCATCGAATATACATTTGTTATGTTGCTACTCTTGTTCATCTAAATATATTATAAATTGAAAAGCACGCAATTGTTTGTTCTTGTCCGCCGAGAAATTAGCTTAATTTAATTTATATTGATGTAACCAGGGACGTATAATGGCTCTATATACTGTCCCTGATGTAACGTAGGTCATTACTTTTTCACTGCCATCGCCAGGAGTCGAACATTGGACATCTGACTTACTAGTCTTACGCTATACCGTATGAGCTCAAAAGAAATTCTCCCTAGCCGAATCGGTAGGAAGCGGCTAATCTTTTACCAGGGTGTTTTTGAAAAACTTTATTTTATTGCCAATATTTTATATGTCAAATTCAGATTACATTTTCACATTTTGTTTGTGTGTATGGTAGTCAAGGAATTATTAAAACAATTATGTGGATACATACAAATTACTTACAAATGCTATGTTATTTAAGGCGTATTGAAATTACAACAATTATCATAATCAGAGTTTCTGCGCTTAATATACCTACGTTCAAATTGTGTATTTTAGTGATGGCCTATGTGACGTGAAAGACCGGCATTGTATGAAAGTCCAGGTGATTGCTCGACACCTCATGGACGGACCGGGACTCAAGTGTCGGTACAAAAAAGCTGAGGTGGGAAACAAACGACAGTCTTCCGCGTAAACCTATAACACACATTAACTACTGTTACAATTTTGCAAAAATAATTTCTGTTTTAATAAGGATACTTTTGAGAATAGAATTGATTAATTAGATATGTCGATACGATATTACAATTACATCATACGTTTTATCTTCGGTATATCCGGTTGGAAAATGTTAAAGTATTTGACACAGAAAGAAATCTCAAGCTTCAGTCAGAAAGTGTGTCTATTGTAAAAGTTGACGCTTGTTACTTTCAAAAGCAACGAGCAAATAACATCGACTTTTAACTATAATGTTCTATATAGTTAAAACCTACTTAGAAATAAAACGTATATGTCATCTAAAAGCGCAGACGATTTGATTATAGAATCACACCTACATAGCGTGGTCGTTATATAACACATAACTTCAGGCATGCGTAATGTTGACTAGGGCACTCAAACTTTTGCTCGTTTTAAGCCATTGATGTACTAGTGAAAAAAATAATTTATTAGTAATCGAAAATGTGAAAGAAGCTGAAGATTTTAAATACATATAACACATATATTGCCTATGTTTGTATATCAGATTGGTAACGGTGTAATATTGTCAATATATAATACACATACATCGCCCTTGTTCGTATACATGTATATCAGATTGGTAACGGTGTAATAAGAGCGAAGCTCTTTAATGGTAACACATGCGTGCGTAAACAGAGTTGCTTCCCCTTTCTACACATTGCCTTTAATTCTTTTCGTCCGGAAGAAGACCTCCAGTGGGGAAAACGGAAGTGTATCCTTGAATCAAAGATAATTGTGGTTTAACACATGCATGAACATCTTCATATAGTGAAAGAAATCTTCATTTATATTACTTTCTTTTAGATAAAACCTTATATACATTCTGAATGAAAAAAAATCGATCAAATACAATGTGATACAAACAGGCATGAAACCATTCGCCACATCTCGGCAGAGTCCGTACCAACATCAATGGCATGAAACTTCGTTCAGAGATTATCATACTATGACGTCACAAACACGTCACATTCCATCGGCCTTCATCAGTTATTTCCGGAAGGATGAAAAATAACTGGAAAATCTTGGAACTGATGTCCGTTGCATTTATCTCTTTGTCGGTGCTTCATGACTTTTTTACTTCTCTTCTTGCCACAGGCACAAAAAGTAAAAAATGCAGATATTTTATGAAGATCAACCAGGCTCTGTTATTTTTTCTACTGGGAGATATCTTCAAAAAGAGCCGGCATTAAACCAATAGGTCAACGTGTACATTTATATTTTCATCGTCTAAAATTCCATCAGCTTTTGATTTCCATTTAATGAGAATATCAACGAATTAATTATTATTTTTTACAAGTCTTGTTATAGTCTTTACATAACTTAGGGTTGCATCACCACCACTCATCAAAGAAACAATGAATAATGTGTTTATGTCGAAATCAACAATAATTTTCAAGACAACCACCACGAATTCAGAGCCCCTTTTTAGCAACGTATTACTTTTTCACACCACATGCCGATTTATAACTAGTTACAGACAGAAACTGTTTATTTTATTTGGCATATCCTTACCTGTCAAACCTCGACGACAGTAAAAAAATAAATGTGAAATTCAATCCGGTGTTTCAGGATGGAAAAGGAATTGAGACTACATCGATATAACGACAATCTCAATTACATCAAAATATTACAATGTTTTTTGGTTTCTTGGTGGGTTTTTTTAACTTACATCTCAATACATTTACTTAGACTTATCGTTAAAAATATAATATGCACTTGTTTTCGAAAGCAACTGCCTAACATTTTTTCCCAACTCATCTTGATAATTCTTTGTGTGCCCTGACTGAAGCACGCAGAGGATTTAATTCGTAATGAATGAGGAAGTCAGAGTATCCGGAGAAAACATGCGTGGTTGGGCAGGTGACCGGGATTGGATCCGGTCATCTTTGTGAAGACGAGCGCGCTATTCACTGCGCCACCCGACCCATCATATACGTTGAGCACAAGAACAATAACTACTTTAGCTTCGACTGGAAGAAAACGGCGTCATTACTGCAAAGATTATATTGTTAATACATTTTTTCTAATCATCTATGATACAAAATTCTCCATACGGGAGACCGGGGCAAGTTCGGACACCCCCGATATTTTTGTTTTTTAGCTTATATTTACAAGTTTGAGGCTCTTAGCAGTTTAGTTGGCTGGGCTTTCACAGGAAAAAAAATGGCGAGGCAAACTCTAATGTACTGAATTACTAAGCAGGAGAAAACAACTTTTGAGAGGCCTATACGGAAAGAAAATCATAATTGTTATGTCGGTCTTAAGTCTCATTAGAGTTCATGTTTTATTGTTATTCCTCGATTAGCCGACTTTAAAAAAAAAGTTTATCTTATCTCATTCTGAAAGCAGTATATCTAATTCTGAAAGCTACGCTGTTTTTAGGCTTTGCCTTTTCATATTATTGTCAATATATACTACACATACATCGCCCTTGTTTGTATATATCAGATTGGTAACGGTGTAATATTACCCTATGGACCGTACATTGATGCCCCAGCCTTCTTAACAAGCTTCCTGGAGGTCGAGTGTAGCCTACCTGAAAGTGCTGTGTTAACAAAAGGTATTTACATTAATCTCGATTTATATAAGGATATAAGGAGTAGATGTAACGAAGCAGTTACTCTAGTTAAGTCAAATAAATGCATAATTCTTTCCAAAATTGAATCAGGGTTTTTAAAGTTAAAAATTTATCGAATCACTCACTTTCGTAAAACTTTCAGTAAAAGAGGAGCACAACTATAACACAATTTATCAGGGCATTCAAAGTAAAACAGTAGTCGGACACCTTACTTTATGTCAAAACAGAAGTGAGAGATCTAACTCAAATTAAGTGTAATCTCTTAAACGTATGGAGGATGGGTTTTCAAATAAGGATCGCAGATGGGATATGTGTATTCTATACTACACAATGCGGTCGGGTTTTTTTTATTTGTTTATCTAATAATCTTTTTAACTTAAGAAAATAATATTGGTATAACGTATGACAGAAGGATATCGATGGCAAATATATAGTACTTAGCTCATATAGAGGGGTGAGGCAAGTTATAATATTTAAAATAAGTGAAAAAACGATATGGTTATTAAAATGGAACAAAATATATCCTCCTTACCTGTGTCATTTGCTAGTTTCTGTTTAATCCTGTTCACAGACAGTGTCCGTGAGGCCTTTGTAGTGTCTGTGGCAAGTGATGGTGTGTTGTACAGCTCAGATCTTACCTTTCTTGTCTACGACGGTTTATGTCAGATCTGTGATATCTCCGGGAAATGCACACTAAAGGTAATGATAATCACAACAATATCACTTCACTTTTAAAATTATTTTCAATTGAAAATTTTGTAAAATCCTTGTAATTTAATATATACGAGATATATTTATATATATGACCAGTATTTACTGAGACGTTTTATACAACAGCAATTGACACTTGTTGTCTGATATTGCAAATCTGATGCGAACATGAAAAAATAAACCTTAAATCAATTAGCATTATTGAAATAACAAAAATAAAAATAGGTTTCTTTAATATAGGGGAACTTCTATTGCAGGGTAAGAACTGTCAGCCCCGATGAGAACTTTTAGCCCTCAGATCGTGCTTTGTTTTCAACAGTGATCCGATCATTTTATACGACAAACAGTTAAAATAATATTATAGTAAAAAGGAAGATGTATTTTTAAACGAGATTGAGATATGAAAACATCCCTTAGATAAAATAAGTCGATAAAGCATATATTGAAAGCATTGCTATGGACAATCCAGAATTTTAAAAAGGCACTTAACTTGATTACAAAGGAAGAGAAGAAAAGTGAAAAAAATAAAACATAAATAAAAATAAACTACATTGAACTACATTCAATGTCACAGGGGTCAAATGTGTCAAATGAATATTGTCAAAGTATTGGCAACAACAAATGACTTCTCAAAAGTCTGAAGTCATGGTATTTGGTATGTAACTTACTTGTCTAATAACTGATTGAATTGTTCCAAACTAACCATTTGGTACATATCGATTTGCTGAGTCAGCGCATACGTTTTCCAGACGAATGAGATGCAGTTAAGGAACTTAAAAAATTAACCAACAGTGACCTACTTTCACTTTCTAGGATAACGCCTGTCTGATTGAAAATGCGTGCCACAGGGTCGGAGAACAGAGCTCTGACGGTGGCTACTGTGACCCCAATACTGACCCGTACTCGTGGACCAGAAGTACTGTCGTCTCCGGTGAGTTTCCATTGTATTTATCTGATAGTGTTTACGATACGTTTTCGTCAGAGATATTTTCTGTTTTTTATTCTTTCACTGATAAACCTTTGTGCTACAAAAAAAGGAAATAGTGACCCTTTCCATTTATCTGCGTAGAGGATTTATTTCTTTAACAGTTTCCTTTATCGTAAGTAACGTATTTTTTGTAGAAACCTTTCATAGCGTACAAAAAGATATTTTGGTTAGCTTGCTCTCACGATAAATAACATGATGAAATAAAATCCACGATTTAGATGTTTTTATTGATATAAATAAACAAAAATCAAATCTGCACAACTTTACGATGCCCTCGTATAAATGTTAACATTAGAATGTATTAATAGGCGTACTTTAATGATAGCTTTTAGTTCATTAACATTTTCTCCGATGGTAACAATTCAAATTTACTTTAAACTTATAAAATATTTTTATGTCAACGCCTTTTTCTAAACAAATCAAATGAAAAACATTTTTAAAAATTCAATAATTAAATAATGTGGTACTAAACAAGTAACCGGTTAGAAGTTTGGCTTACTTTACAGATAAAAAGAAATAGAAAATTCAGTCGTTATCAGTTTTACAAACCTATGCTCGATTGTACTGCAAATCGTTTCCCATATCATTTGCTGTTAGATGACGTTCAGTGTGGTTGACATTGACACTTGTCAGATTTTAAAGGGTATATATTTCGTTTCAATTTTAAGTTTTCTGAAGATAATTTGATTATTCCAATCATGCTTATGAAATTGTTGCTTAATCCACGAATGTTAACCTACAGAGATCAACCACTACACATCGACAGGGTCTGGTTGTCAATGTGGCTTTGACAAGACTAGGTTTGACTGTGCCTGTTGTACCAATAACGGCTGTCAGTGTGGAGATGCTAAACCCCACATATGTACCAGCTGTAATCACTTGGACTCGTGCGCGACTTATCCTGATCTCATTGTCAGAAATTAAAATCATCTTACAAGATATATATGGCAATCTTAAGTATTCTTTCAGTAGACATGTAGATACAGAATTCTACCATGCACTTTATAAAGTTAATAAATGTGCTTAAACGTTCACTTACCATGTGAAAATGATACAGAATTCATTACTCACGATATCTAACATCTACAGGCATGCCATTATACATGTGTATCAACATAGACGTCATAGTACAGCACACATGAGCAAGGATATCATTATCATACCTGAACTAGTAACAGAAGAAATAACGTCTTCATTTGGCGACATCAATACGGAGCCTTAGACAGATCAAAGGTCCAAGATCTAAGATTGCACGTAACTGATAAAATCCCTTTCACCGAAAGATCATAGGGAGTTGGGTGACGATTAGCTGAGAGCTTTCATTGTTACTGTTTATGCAATCCGCACTGCCATCAAATTCACCATTGCGAGGACATTGAAGTTGACAGGATACCAGTTCAGTTTACCAGAAATACATCAATATGTCAGAACCCACAGGTTAATACCAATCAATTTTAATATGAGCTGGAAGTTAACAAGATAGTTTACCGATATAATTGTTACTGTCTCAATCCCTGGCTCGTCGAACGACATCATTTACCAAAGAAACAACTTTAATGAATTCAAGTGAGCTACCACCCAACAAATGTAGTTAGAAAAATAACTGTAAACTAGCCAACTTGAAAGTTATTACAGGGAATATCCTTCTTAAAATCCGTTGTGTGTTTTGAGTCCAGGAACAAGCAGGTCTTGGGGGTTAAACTTGAAGAGATTTGGAACAGTGGACGACATTCAAATGTACCCGTACAGAAAAATAAGACAGACTGGAACTAAACAGGACCCGGTAATTATACCTGTAACATATACCGGGCCAGGCTTGGTCAGCCATAGAAACTCAAGTCACTGGTTTCATGTTATCGTTAATAATTGTTCTATGTAAATTATTATTCAATTCTGGTGATTTTATAATTTTATGTTTCCTTCTTCCTCTTTATCCCCATACATGTCGTCGGTACGTACGATGTATGACTTACATCAGGTCTAGGATAGGCACACTAATCTACATAACAGGAGGTCACGAATTCATTTTTATTTTATTTTCTATTCTTCTGATGTTCTGATAACTCTTACAGTGATATCAGGCTTCTACAAGATGACGTAGTTGGATATCTAAAAGACACAAAACATTGCGGGTCCGCAGATGGGAACACGACGTTAAGCTGAAATTGTTTTCCGGCAAATAAGAGTCTGGTTAAAACTTACAGAAAGTCAGTTACAGTGCATTAGTTATCATTTCTGTTTCCGATTTGCTGATTTTCTTATTGTTCACCATGTGTTTGTTTGTACGAATTACGTTTATCATAAGCTTAGATTTAAACACGTTGGGATATATGACTGGCTTACTGATTTCTTGAGGTAACTAGTTATGCAGAAGGAATGATGAACACTTGGCGGGTTCCCACACATATCCGTCACTGTCTATATCTGTCTGATTAGACCATATGTGTGAAAGAAGATCATTTAGGTCACTAGGTTGGTCTCGATATATATGACTAAATCCCTTTACAGTTTTGAAACGTTAACATATACAGTGACTGATGTTTCTATCATTGAAAGTTTAAATTAGATTATGTCGAAAATCCTGCATCTCTGAATGTAAGAGATATTTATTTCATTTTGGCATCGTGACTTAATGATATTATAAAAATAATCCAAAGTTGGAGTTTTCAAAACTGCTGTCTATTATAAAAATCCAAATGCCTTAGAAACGAATATGATTCCATAAAGAATGTTAAATTATGCTTATCTTCGTAAACTTGTATGTCTGCTTGTATTATCTGTATTCCCTATTCAATGTGTCTGTCTGCTAGATCTGCTCTCAGTAATGAATTTGTATGTCTGCTGGATCTGTTCTCAGTAATGAATTTGTATGTTTGCTAGATCTGCTCTCAGTAATGAATTTGTACGTTTGCTAGATCTGTTCTCAGTAATGAATTTGTATGTTTGGTAGATCTGTTCTCAGTAATGAATTTGTATGTCTGCTGGATCTGTTCTCAGTAATGAATTTGCATGTCTGCTAGATCTGTTATCAGTAATGAATTTGTATGTTTGCTGGATCTGTTCTCAGCAATGAATTTGTATGTTTGCTAGATCTGCTCTCAGTAATGAATTTGTATGTCTGCGGGATCTGTTCTCAGTAATGAATTTGTATGTCTGCTTGATCTGTTCTCAGTAATGAATTTGTATGTTTGCTGGATCTGTTCTCTGTAATGAATTTGTATGTTTGCTAGATCAGTTCTCAGTAATGAATTTGTATGTTTGCTAGATCTGCTCTCAGTAATGAATTTGTATGTCTGCGGGATCTGTTCTCAGTAATGAATTTGTATGTCTGGTAGATCTGTTCTCAGTAATGAATTTGTTTGTCTGCTAGAAGTGTTTTCAGTAATGAATTTGTATGTCTGCTAGATCTGTTCTCTGTAATGAATTTGTATGTTTGCTAGATCAGTTCTCAGTAATGAATTTGTATGTTTGCTAGATTTGTTCTCAGTAATGAATTTGTATGTCTGCTAGATCTGTTCTCAGGAATGAATTTGTATGTCTGCTGGATCTGTTCTCAGTAATGAATTTGCATGTCTGCTAGATCTGTTCTCAGTAATGAATTTGTAAGTCTGCTAGATCTGTTCTCAGTAATGAATTTGTAAGTCTGCTAGATCTGTTCTCAGTAATGAATTTGTATGTTTGCTGGTTCTGTTCTCAGTAATGAATTTGTATGTCTGCTAGATCTGTTCTCAGTAATGGATTTGTATGTTTGCTGGATCTGTTCTCAGTAATGAATTTTTATGTCTGGTAGATCTGTTCTCAGTAATGAATTTGTTTGTCTGCTAGAAGTGTTTTCAGTAATGAATTTGTATGTCTGCTAGATCTGTTCTCAGTAATGAATTTGTAAGTCTGCTAGATCTGTTCTCAGTAATGAATTTGTATGTTTGCTGGTTCTGTTCTCAGTAATGAATTTGTATGTCTGCTAGATCTGTTCTCAGTTATGAATTTGTATGTATGCTAGATTTTGTTTCAACAGTTAACGTGTGTTAATGCTTGATCTGTTTTACAAAAATTAAACATGTATGTCTGCTAGATCTGTTTAAACAAATTAATATGTATGTTTTCCCTTATTAATTGTGTGTGTCTGCTAGATATGTATCACTAATAGATGTTTATGTCTTCTTTTTCTGATTTTATTCATGAATGTGTATGTCTGCTCGATCTGTATTCATCAATGACTTTGTATGTCTGCTCGATCTGTATTCATCAATGAATGTGTATGTCTGCTCGATCTGTATTCATCAATGACTTTGTATGTCTGCTAGTTTTTTTACACTATTGGATGTTTATGTCTGCTAGATTTTTTCACGATTGGATGTGTATGTCTGCTAGACATCATTTGTTTTCACTTTTGAATGTGTATGTCTCCTATATCTGTTATCAGTATTGAATGTGTATATCTGCTATATATGTTTTTACTATTTGATATGTTTGTCAATTAGGTCTGTTTCCATAAGTGAATGCATTTGGAAAAGTTAATTAAATTGCAATATATATATATCTAAAATTTATATCAAATCTTATTTTGAAAATAAAATGAGCTAAAGGTTATTTCATTATGCTAGAGACATCTTTTCAAAGGCGTCTTATACTTATAATGATGTATGGGGAGATATTAGTCGATATAAACATGTTGTTAATAAAAATATTATATTCGAATTAATCGATCTTTTGCTGAGTATGCGTTTGCGTAAATATTGCATATCTCTTTTACAGTTCCAAATCCATTTAAAGGGAAATATTGCGGTTCTCTTTGACAGTTCCAAAACCGTTGAATTGAATTGAATAGTTCCGTTTCTGCTATAAAGAAGGTATTCATCTGTTTACGATTCTGTAAAGATAGTTCGGTTTTCGTTGGCGTATTTATCTGCTAATTATACAAGTGAAAGTTTTGTAAACATTCGAAAATGGCTCAACACAAAAGGACAACTTTAAGAAAATAAGAATAACCACTACCTTGACCTCAACATGAATCACATCGTGACCGACAGATGAAAGATCGAAAGTAATATCATTAGTTTTGAAATGGTTCAAAGACTAGGGGCGCTTCGGGTCATTTCCCGCCTCATCGGGGGTTTTGAATTAGTTGTTCTATTCGTAATCTGGAAAAAATGAAGTACACAAATATAAAATATAAAATTCATTCGATAACTGATTTAGGAGATAAGGCCTAACAAAGATAGACATAATACCGCATTTTTGCAACAAAATGCGCGAATATCGTCTTTTGTGCATAATCAGGTTGAAAATTTACCATTTTCAAGGAAATAAACTAAACACTCTTCAATTTTTGAAAGCCTCCGCATGCAACAAAAAAATAAATATTTTACACGCTTAAACATTGTCATACCAATGTTAATTTGTAGAAAGGATTTTTTGTTTGTCACTTGCGGCATGCATTTCTGCATGCTAACTGTCCAAAAACACCATATTTCTGCATAGCAGCGCAACTTTGTTGCTACGGTAGGGTATCTACGCATGCGCATTGGAAAATATGTGCATCAAGAAAGGTAGCCCTAATTTACCAATATGATGTTTATAACAGAAATTGGTAAGTAAATTCAAGTTGTACTTTTTATGAGGCCAAAGATGGCCCGTAACAAAAGTCCTTTCCTTCATCATAAATGACACCAACAATGATGTTTTCCGTAAACCCAGGAATATATGTAAGTCAAGGGCTATCTTCTTTTTGAATGCTTATAGGCTGACCTTGAACTCTCGCGCGACATTCAGCTACAATGTAGTACACCTGTTCCTATGGTCAGGTCATTCTGGTACACGTCTTATCGAGCTCTAATTCCTATTTAGAGCAGCCATACAGCACATGATGTGTGATACGTTACTCCTTATAGGTAACAAATGTAAAATCAAAATAACTTCGTGGCTTCGAACG